ATAACTAATTATTACCTAACTAACTTTGTCCCGAATTGCCAAGTGGTCTATTGTGAGGCTGTCACTTGGATTAATGTGGAGGCTTTTTTTCTTCTTCTTTAAATAATATATAGATTATGCGATGCAATTATAAATTTATTACCTATTTTTAAGTGATTTTTAAAAATTAGATTTGATAATTGTTTTAAAGATTCGGGAATTAATAGCCTATAAGAGAAGAAATTATAAATAATTATTTGTAAGAAGAGAATTGATAATCCAAAGAAGGATGTAGTTAGTTTGCTTTAGGGTGAAAAAAGAAGAAGATAATTTAGAAAGTTACAAGACATTACACGAAGAAAAAATCAAAAATAAGAAAAGTCAATAAAGAATTTGGAAAGTTACAATGTGATTCATGTATATGATATCTTTAAATTTAAAAGAATGGTAAAAACAAAAACAAAAATGAAAAGAAAAACTTAAATCAATAAGGAATAATTTTGAAAATATAAATTTATAGTGAGGATAGTTTTGTCTTGAATAAAATAATTTTTTCCTTCTACTTTTGCTTCTTGGAAGAAGCTAGAATTTTTTGCTTCTTCCCAAAAGTAGAAAAACGATTTTGGTACTGGCCAAAAATACTTCTCCATCTTGACCAAATAATTAACTTTTTAAAAAAGTACTTTTTCAAAGAAAAAAAGAAGTAATTTTGGCCGGTCAGAAACTTTGTCAAACAAGCTCTTAATGTTTATTAAGATGTACCTGTTGAATACCTAGTTGATAATCTATTAGAATAACAAAATGCGCGGGGGCGGACTTACGTAGGGTCAAGAGGGTTCAAATAAACCCGCTTCGTCGAAAAATAACACTGTATATATAAGTATATTTTATATTTCTAAGAACGTTTTATGTATAAAAATTATTTTGACCCCGCTTAAAACATTGATGACGAATAGCATGTTGGCAAAGTGGATTCAAATTTTTCCCAAGGTCTTGAGTTCGAGACCAGTCAGAATTATTTTGTTTTAATTCTCTGCATATTTCATAAAAAATGCTTGTTGTCTCTCTCTCCCTCCCTCCCTTTCTCTCTCTCTCTCTACTGAATCTTTTAGTTCAATTTCAAGGTCATATAGCTTCATTCCATAACTGTCTCCTGCCATTAGCCTCTCACTCTCTCACCATCAACTATCACCATCAGGTTTCTCTCTGATTTTTAATTTTTTTCTTATACATATAAATTAGGTCTATCTTATCATTAAGTGATTTAGGGATGACTAATTGACTATAACACATTGGATTCAGATTAATTTTATTTTCTAAGTGTATGAGTGTCTTATGTATATGTGTTTGGCTAACTGCATTATATAGGTGTTCATTTCAATTAACTCAATTATTCCATGATATAAACAATCTGCTTTAAAATACTTGCCCATCACTAGAAAATACATTGCTGATTTTTTTATTTGTTCTCTTTGTTGCTTCAAGAAAAGTTATGATGAAAACAATAACTCTTGTAAAGACATTTTGAACTTCCAAAGTTGTGGTCCAAAGCTATTTAATGATGATTAAAATCTCATCTAACTGTTTTATAATATAATGATATGTAAAATAAAAAAAAATTAAATTATTGGTGAAGAATGAATAAATGTTAGTTTAAATTTAAGTTTAATTAAATTATTCTTCTAATTCGAATTCTAATTTGGTAATCCAGTTTATATTACAATGAAGAGATTTTATCCTCCGGTATCTTCCAAGTTGCCACAATCAAGTTCATCCTCTCTAATTGTTACTTCCGTGGAAGAAAATTTGAACCAATTAGTAGAACAACCTCAATCCTCTAAAAAAACAAAGACAAGGAATAAATCTCGATTCTTTAAAGACTGATCCAAAGGAGAGATTACCCATTAGAGACTTTCATCCAAATGAGTATGATGAGATTAGAAGAGAATACCTCCGAAGAGGTCCTTGCCAACCCCGATATCATAAGTTTCCTCAAAGAAATTTTTCGGGCTTAAAGCGTCGTTTCAATCCTAAATGGTTTAAAGGATATCATAATTGGTTGGAGTATAGTGTGATTGAAGATGCAGCTTACTGTTTGTATTGTTACTTATTTCAAGATGAAGGCATTCATCAAGGTGGAGGTGATGTATTTTCAAGTTTAGGATTTAAGAGCTTGCACAAAAAGAACATATTAGATATGCATGGGTCGAGCAGTATTTATAATCAGGCAAAAAGGAAATGTGAAGATCTATTAAAACAAAAACATTCAACTCAAACTTCATTTGATAGGCAATCTACTCAAACCAAGCTCGAATACAAAATTCGCTTGAAGGCTTCAATTGAGGTGGTAAGACTCCTATTGAATCAAGGATTGGCATTTCGTGGACATCATGAAGATGAATCATCATTAAACAAGGGTAACTTTCTTGAGATTCTTTCACGGTATACAGAGAGGTGCGATAAAATTCGTGATCTTGTGTTGAAAAAGGCTCCAAAGAATGATCAGTTGACTTCTCATAAAATTCAAAAAGACATTATCATTGCATGTAAAATAGAAACAGTTAAAGAAATTATGGACGATCTAAATGGAGACTTTTTTGCATTACTAGTTGATGAATCATGTGATGTATCACGCAAAGATCAATTAGCTACTGTCATGCGATATGTTAATAGATGTGGATCTATGGTGGAGCATTTTATTGGGATCGTTCATGTTCGTAATACTACTGCTTTGTGTTTAAAGAAAGCAATTGTTGATTACCTTGCTCAACATTCTTTGAATTTATCTTATGTGCATGGACAGTGCTATGATGGAGCAAGCAACATGCAAGGGGATTTACGTGGCCTCAAAACTTTGATTCAACAAGAAAGTAAATCTGCTTATTTCATTCATTGTTTTGCACACCAACTTCAATTGACTCTTGTTGCGGTATCCAAAAAGTGTCTTGAAGTGGGAGAACTTGTATTGTTGGTTTCTAATGTATTGAATATAGTGGGAGGTTCTTTTAAACGTATGGATGATCTTCGAGAATCTCAAGCAGAAAAAGTTCAAGAGGCATTAGACATGGGTGAACTTGAAACTGGTAGGGGTTTGAATCAAGAACTTGGTCTTGCTAGAGCTGCCGATACTCGTTGGGGTTCGCACTACAAATCTTTTAAGAACTTTATTTCTATATTTGGCTCAATTATTGATGTTCTTGATACTATCGTTGTTGATGTCCGGACTTTAAAAGAAAGAGTTAAGGCAAAGGGATATCTTAGCACTTGTCAAACATTTGAGGTTGCTTTCATGTTGCACCTAATGAGAGATATTTTGGCGATCACAAATGAGCTTAATACGTCCTTACAAAAAAAGGAGCAAGATATTGCAAATGCTATTCTACTTGTTGAAGTGGCAAAGAAACGGTTGCAAAAGTTAAGAGAAGAAGAATGTGATTCACTTATTGATAAGGTATCTGCATTTTGTGTCAAGTATAATATTTTGATACCAAACTTTGATGACCTCTATGTTAACTCTGGAAGATCTCGACGTAAAGTTGCTGATTATACTATTTTACATCACTATCGTGTTGATATATTTTTTAAGATTATTGATTGGCAAGTTCAAGAACTCAATGCTCGTTTTAATGAGGTGACAACGAACTTGCTTGTTGGACTAGCTTGCTTAAATCCAGTTGACTCATTTTCCAGTTTTGACATAAACAAGATATTGAGGATGACTGAATTATATCCTGATGATTTTGATGAGAATATAATGGTTACACTCAAGAATCAGCTTGAAACTTGTATTGTTGATGTTCGTGATGTTGATGAAAGGTTCTCAAATTTACAAGGACTTGTTGATCTTTCTGAAACACTAGTTAAGACAAAGAAGCATTTGAATTATCCATTTGTGTTTCGCCTTGTAAAATTTGCTTTGCTTCTACCTGTTGCCACTGCTACCGTTGAAAGAACTTTTTCGGCGATGAAGTCGATCAAGAGTGAATTGCGAAACCGAATGAATGACGAATTCATGAGCGGTTGTTTGGTACCTTATGTAGAAAGAAAAATATTTAACACCATTTCTGATGAGACTATTATGAATACGTTTCAGGAAATAAAAACTCGTAGAGGACAGTTGTAATGATATATATTTTTTTGACCTCTTTATATATTTGCTTCTTCGCATTTTGAACCCGCTTGATAAAAATCTCGGGTCCACCACTGAAAGTGCGTGAGTCTCAAACGTCGTGAAATGGCAAAAGAAGCCAATCAGTATGTGACACATGGAAACAATAATCATTTAAATGCGGAAAATCAATGTTATTTACATAATTACATTACTATATTATTTGAACTCAAAATTATCTATCATCATTTGAACATGCATAAATGATCAATTTAACTAAGTTATTTAGATTTATAGCATATGTACTTATATTTTAGAAATGGAGTATGTGACGTTATCGTATCTTAGTTAAAACTTCTTCCCATAATAGAAATGAACTTAAATTGCTCGTTAAAATTAGTACTCTCCTCGTCTCCATTTATGTGAGGATTTTTGGATTTTGAGAGTTAAATAATTTTTTTATCGTAATTTTTTTTATGCCTTTTAAATTAATAATTCTTGTGACTTATAATATTTATTTTATATACAATAACAACATCCCAGTTTATTTTCACAAGTGAAGTATGAGTAGGATAAGATGTACACATCTTACTACTATAATTTTTAAATTTATAGTAAATTTTGTTTAAAAAAACTAAAACATTATATGTCCAAATTCAAGAAATTTGACTCTTGATGTTTGAACTATGCCACAGTAGAAATACTATTATTATTATTATTATTATTATTATTATTATTATAAAGAAAAGGAGGCTCATATTTGAATCTTTTGAACCCAAAAGAATAAGTAGTCAGCATTTCGGCAAGTGATTCAAAGGTCAAACATTTTTTTATTTTTTTTATTTTTATTTTACTTTACTATAAACATTGACTAATTAATCTCCTCTTTATAATCTCCCTCTTCACTCTTTCTTTTCCACCCAATTCGCTTCCTTGAGTTCTTCCATATATTGTACTAGAAAACTAAGATTCTCTCTTTTCCCATAGATTTATCTATACTAGTTTTTTTTCTTCTTTTTCTGTAAAGATCTAAAATGGCTTCTCTACAACAGTTAACACTAGATTTGATAAGGCAGGATCTTCTTGATGATATTATTTTTGCGGAAAATTACGGCTTATCGGAAACCAACACTAGTTTTGATTCAAAAACTGAATTAAATAGCTTTAAATTCGAGGCAAAAGCACCTCGTATAAGTTCAAATTCCCGGAAATTCAGTTCAAAAACAGAGGATTCAGTTCAGAAAATGGAAAATACCTTGGGGACGAAGCGTTACAGAGGGATCAGGCTAAGGCGGGGTAAATTTGTTGCAGAGGTTTGTGACCCGAGCCGAAAAGGGAAACGGATTTGGCTAGGAACTTTTGATACTGCAATAGATGCAGCCAGGGCATATGATACTGCAGCGTTTAAGCTAAGAGGGAGCAGAGCAATTCTGAATTTCCCTCCACAAAAGAAGGTAATTGTTGTTTCTATTTATGTGACAGCTTTTTCTTTTTAATAATAATAAAATAAATATATTTTTATTTTTAAAAGTAATTAAGTTAAATATCTTTATTTTATTTTTAATGACATATATCTTAAACAATCAAGAATATCATTTTATTTTTAGTTACAATCAGAAATATCATTTTCTAAATTGTATTTCTATACTTTCATAATCAGAATATTATGAAAAATTTAAGAGTACAAGTTTTTTTTTCAAATTTTAGAATTCATGCGGAGTCAAACAATTCATGAGAAACTACATGGCTAAATTGATAGATTTCAACCAAAGGGCGTTCGATGCTTAGAGGAGTATTTTTGTGTGTTATAGTCCACGCCATTTGCATGAATTCGGTCGACTGTCTCCAAATCTTCTAAAATTTTATGTGCCTATAAAAAATATTTTTTGGCGTTAGGGCCATAAAATTGAAATTTTGTACGATTTCCAGACTTCCGTGTGTTATAGTCCACGCCATCTGCATGAATTCAGGGGATCGGATCCGAAACGCCTAAAATTTTGCGGGCTAATACTGATTTAATTTTCAATCATAGGACATGGAATTAAGATTGCCTGAGATAAATGGCATTTTTTACCCAAAGGACAACGATTCACAGCGTTCAGAGAACAATGGTACTGCACTGCTTGTTCCGCACGACTTATTCAACAATGAAGGGCTAGAGCAAGTTGATTTATTACTTCCGCATGCAACAGAGGCAACTGTGATGAACAGAGGAAGTATGGTTAACGCGAATGTAGCACATGATCAGTGCAACGACGGAGGAGAAATAGTGCAGCCCGATTTACATTGTGTGAAATCATTTGTAGAAATTGATTCAAGGAGTAATGACAAAGTGGAGCATAATGATATTGCTAGAGGAAGTTCATCATGTGAAAGACTATTGGTTGAAGCTGATGCAATGACCAACATTCAGAACGTAGATTCAATGAACAAGTGCACAATAGCAAGGCTAGAAAAAGATTATGGGATTACTCGCGAGATTCTAGAGCAGCATTTTGGGAAGACTCTTGTAGATGCTGCCAAGACCCTACGTGGTAAGTTAACTCTGGTGCATATATTTGAGGCTTGTATCTCTTTTCATGTTATTAAAACTTCCTCCGTTTTAGTTTATCTGAACCTTTTCGCTATTTGAGATTCAAACTATGTAAAATTTGACCGACATTCTGAAAATTTATTTTTTCATCATATTAACATGAAAAAAATGTAACTTATTGTACTTTGCGTATAGTTTTTGAATATCTAAATTTTAATTTTAAATTATCGAGTTAATCTAATCCAAAAGCGACAAGGTCCACATAAACTGGAACGGAGATCAGTATGTATGTATGCCCTTTAATTAGATGAGATGAATTTTGCTTAGGTTCACTGAAATCCGTTTTTGGAACTTGTTTTTTGCAGTTAGTCGATCAACATTGAAACGAGTATGTAGAGAATACAATATCTCTAGATGGCCACATCATAAGACCAGAAAGGTTTATCACCGTGTTAGCCAAGGCGTATCTCTACAAAGTGCTGAACAATATGTGGAAGATACTCAACAATGTCCTGATCTGTCCCAAGAAAAAGGCACAGATCTTTTGGCGCATAAGAAATCGCCTGCAGCAGAAAAACCTTGTGATAATCTGATGACTTTAAAGGTTACATATAGAGGCGATATCATTAAGTTTCAACTCTCCCCTTCATCAACCAGGGTAGAACTGGAGGTGGAAGTGGAAAAGAGGCTTAACATATCACTTCAGAGGTTTTCAATCAAGTATCAAGATGACGACGATGATTGGATTTTGATAACTAGTAATTCAGATTTGAGTTACGGTATGAATTCATTAAGATTGTTAGGAAGAACTACTATGAAATTACTGGTTACCCCAATATCTGAGACATGAATTTTCGCTAAGTTATTATGGTTCATCTTTATTGCCGAACTTTAGAGTGTTGTTTCTTTGCCAGTGATATTTGTTGTATGTCTTTGAGCTCATTATAAATAATAGAGAAGTCTAATTTGAAAACCCTTTTGGACTGTTTAATATCAGTTGCTTCAGAAAAAAATGATTTAAGTGCCACTAATGGCATTTATATATAAACTTTTTTACAATCGTTGAACCAAGTAACTTTCTACATCACACACACCCTTTGGGTGCGACCCTTCACCGAATTATGTGCGAATGCTGGATGCTCTGTGAACAGAGCTGCCTTTTTTTTGTTGTTGTTGGTATTGAGAGATATTGGGATAGAAATATTGGAGTTCAGGATTATCCTTAACTTCGAGTTTATTGAAGTGTGAATTGACAGATAAATTACTTTGATCAGTAAATTTCGATTCTACTATAACATGTGTTTCAATCATAACAGTTCTTGTGTAGTACAGTAGATAATTGTTTATCAGTATTTATGGACACTATTGGTATCAAGATTTTTATAGATAAATAAATAGGTTAGCTCTTTCGAAACCTTTAATTAATTATGTACTTCCAAATATTTTCTCACAATACAGGTGTGCCCGTATACATATGAGTTTCAGTTTTCTGTCTTTCAGTGTTGCTTTATAAAGCACACTAGGGTAGTGAAAGACTGAACGTAGGCGGTTATGTGAGTGTGTAATATAAATCTGTTAAATAGGAAAGTACATGCGTGCTACTAGGCCTACGGGTAAGAAAAGGAAAAACTCTCAACTACCTACTAACCTTCTATCCTAATACTCAACTTCAACAACCTCCTATCAAGGGTCATGTCGCGTCATGTCCTACCTAATCACCTCTCCCCAGTACTTCTTAAGTCTGCCTCGACCTCTACTCAAACCCGTCATGGTCAACCTCTCACACCTCCTAACAGGAGCGTCAATGCTTCTCCTCATAACACTCAGCCGCGTCATAATTTCTTTTTAACAATATTTATACGTTTGAACTGAAGACTAAAAGGTGGTCAAGTCTGATACCAGGTAATATTATTATGACAGATGGCGAAGAAAAGAACAGAGGGTGAAAAATCGATCTTCATCGTTCTACCGAATAAATTACCATTGGCAGAAAGTTACTAGCAATTCTTGTCAAAAGATCAGTATTGAGAACTTGACTTGAGTATTCAATGGAGTGATAGTCCTGGATTAAAATGGCCCTCGCCTAGAAGCATCGACTTGCATTGTAAAAGGTTCTAACGAAAACTCCCCTAGATTCTCTAAGGTTGGTATGTAAAGGCCAACTCATCGTTGCACTTATTTTAGAAGGATCAATATGCATCACCTGATATGACCAAGATACTATCAACCTAGTTATGTGCAAATGAACACTAGGATTTTTTTACAAATACATGGTAGTCCACCCACTCAGTAACTTAAGAACTGTATCTAGATGCACCAAATGTTGATGTAGTGTAACACTGTATATAAGTAATGTTGAAGGCCGATTTGAGGTCGGAATTGGATGTTGGACTCGTATCGGAATGGGTGTTCGGAATTTGTCAATTTGATCGGGTTATGGGGTGCGGGCCCGGGGTTGACTTTTTTATTTTACTTAAAGAAGTTTTATTATTCGGATTCGTTTCCTATAACTTTTATTTATGATATTAAGTTATTTTGGCTTGATTCAAGTCATCCAGAGGTTGATTAACGCGGGAAGGGCTTATTAGAGGATTGATTTAGCTTGATTGAGGTAAGTATCGTGCCTAACTTTATGTGGAGGAAACTTTCCCTTACGTGTACATGAGGTGACGAGTGTGTGCACGGGCATATGTGTGGTAATTGACTGGATTAAGCCTTAGGCTATTAATATGCCTTGATTTGGAGCTGTTTGTTATATGAAACATGTTTTTATTTTGTTGTTCACTCCTCGTACCCTTATATTATTGTGATAATTGTTGTACACATTGTTGTTGAGCCACGACTATATCTTGTTGTGGCATTGATATTGTTATTGTGGTGATGTTATGGCACATGTGTACGTGAGGTGTGGGTGGTTGTTATTGTTGTGTTGTGATTGAGATGTGCATACGGCGGAATAAAGGTGGTGTGTATATTGATGCGCATGCGGTGAGATAAGGAGGCTTATGCGCGTGTTGCTAATATGGAGAAATACTTCATTGTGAAGCACACGCGGCGAGATGAGGGGGCTTATGCTCGTGAAGCTGTTTCGGGAAAATATTTTAAAATGTGAAGCTCACGCGATGTTGTAGGGATGATTTGTGATTTGTGACTCGTGATTTATGATTATGAGGTGTGGTACCTCGGTGTGATTATTGTTGTAAATCTTGTGTTGGAACGGCTTGAGGATTTGAACGGTCATTGTTTTTCATTAATCACTTGTACTTTAACTGTGTTCGGGTTAATTTGTTGTGTTATCACATGTTTACTCTTTGTTGCCATTTATTGATTCCGCTTCTCGTTGTTAGCTTTATATTGATATTCTGCACAGGTTTTATGTTTAGTGAGTGTCTTGACTTGAACCTTGTCACTACTCTACCGAGGTTAGTCTTGATACTTACTGGGTACCGATTGTGGTGTACTCATACTACACTTCTGCACATTTTTGTGCAGATCCAGGTACCTCGGATCGAGCCGGTCGCTAGTGTGTTAAGCCAGATATTGAGGAGACTTCAAGGTATACCTGTTGTTCTCGCTCACAAGCCTCGGAGATTTCGCATGTACTCTCTGTAGAGCTTATGACTTCGTACTACCAGTTTTGAGATTTATTTGACTTTGTATTTTCGCTTTTGGTTATGTTAAAGCACTTTTCAACTTTCATTATTATTTAAGTTGGTGTTTAGTTCTATTGATCTTGATATGTGATAGGCTTACCTAGTCCTAGGAACTAGGTGCCATTACGATCCTAAAGGTGGGATTTTGGGGTCTGTGACACTAGTGAAGTTTAACTTTGGGAACAATAGTGCTCGACACATAGGAGAAAAGTTTTAGATTAATTAAGATGACCTATGCTTTTTCATTAGTAACAGTTCCTATCGTTGTAAATAGTATTCTAGCCCATAAGTTGTTGGAGTATATAAACTTGACTTGGTTTACTTTGACATTTTCTTCCACTGTCTTCATTTGTTTGTACTTTTAGGCAGTAGTATTTAAAATTGACACTCTAAAGTCTTAACCGAAAAACAGTGCGGAGACTAACAAGAGTATATTGATATCATAAATTAGATCATCTAAGATCATTAACCATTCTTGTTTTAGGAAAAAGAGAAGCCTGCCTGTTATAGTTATGGGCACAAGTTAGAAATTTTCTCTTTGCTCTTGTAGCTTTCATTCTATTACATGACCATACTTCATTGGCAACTGTTCCCAATATCAGCACTGATGAAGCTGCTCTTCTAGCCTTGAAATCTCATATTTCTTCTTCTGATCCTAACAACATCGGTCTTCTTCCAGCCCAGTGTGCAGCTGGATTGGAATCAGTTGCAGCTCTCGCCACCGTAGAGTCGCAGCTTTAGACATTAGTAACAACACTCTCCGTGGAGAGTTGCCAGAAGAGTTGGCTCATTTGCAAAGGCTGAAACTGGTTAATATAAGGCACTGGTGTCATTCCATCATTTTTAAGTTTGTTACCAAATCTTCGCATTGTGCTCCTTTCAACAATCCCCTCCTCTTTCCAGTGTTGAGAATACAGAGAATTTTTTCTGGAAGGAGAAATCCCTAGAGAAGTTGGCGATCTACGTTACATGACTTTTTTAGACCTGCAACATAACCATCTTACTGGCTCTATACCACCATCAATCTTTAACATTACAACAATACAAATTATTGCTCTTAGTCACAACAATCTTACCGGTAAGCTTCCAACAGCGCTATATGTGACCATCTTCCAAACCTGGAATTGCTTTACCTCTCAACTAACTACCTAGAGGGCGTCATTCCACCAAACATAGAAAAATGTGGAAAGCTTCAAATCTTGTCATTGTCCGTCAATCAGTTCATTGGAACTGTACCAAGAAATCTAGCTAACTTGACAGCACTTACAATATTAGATCTTCGAGACCTGCACTTAGAAGGTAGTATGATATTTCCTTACAAGAATCGGAAATTTTCTTCCTTCTCTCTCTCTCTCTCTCTCTCTCTCTCTCTCTCTCTCTCTCTCTTCTCATATATTTCCCACACTTGACAGGAGAGATACCAGGCGCTGTCATTATACAATAATGTGTTTACTGGTCCCGTACCTGCTAGCATTTTCAACATGTTAGAACTGCAGATCATAGGACTTGCAGGAAACAGGTTTTCAGTTACTCTACCTTCAGATTTTGACCGTCAACTGCCCAACCTGGAAAACTTTTCTTGTTCAAGTAATCTTTTGAGCGATTTTATCTCGTCTTCAATCTCAAATTCTTCAAGACTCACGGGACTTGATATCTCATGGAATAGTTTCACAGATCCAATTCCTGAATCACTTGGTAACTTAGAATATCTTGAGATTTTACACTTGGGGAGTAATAAGTTTTTCAGTGATTCAGCATTGAGCTTCCTTACATCACTCACAAACTGTAGGGAACTAAGAGTATTCAAATTTGATCGGAATCCGTTGGACGGTGTTTTTCCTGCATCAGTTGGAAATTTTTCTGCTATGCAAAATTTTGAAGGACAGGGTTGTAAACTGAAGGGCGTCGTTCCGGAAGAAATTGGTAATCTTACTGGAATGAAAATGATGAGTCTGCAAAACAATGAGTTGGCTGGACATATTCCAAAGAATGTTGAACCTTCAAGAACTTTACCTGCAAAGCAACAAGATAGAAGGACCCATACCAGATATTATCTGCAATTTAAAGAGTCTTGGTGCATTAGACTTATCAGGAAACCATTTTTCTGGTTCAGTGCTACCATGCTTAGGAAGTGTTACCAGTTTGAGGAAACTTTATCTAGCTAACAACAGGTTGAATTCAAGATTACCTGCAAGCTTAGGGAGCCTTCAAGATCTCATAGAATTCAATGTTTCGTCAAATTTATTCAGTGGGCAAATTCCACTAGAGATTGGAAATTTAAAGGCTGCAACACTCATCGATCTGTCAAAAAATGATTTCTCTGGTAAGATCCCCAACATCTTAGGGTACCTTGATAAATTGATCAAACTTTCTCTAGCGCATAATAGATTAGACGGGCCTATCCCGGATAAATTGATAGGCCTTGGAATTCTTGGATTTGTGTAATAACAATCTTAGTGGTGAAATTCCAAAGTCATAGAAGCTCTTGTGTATCTGAAATACTTGAATTTCTCATTTAATAAACTCAGTGGAGAGATTCCCACTGGAGGTCCTTACGCAAATTTCACAAGTCATTCTTTCTTGTCCAATAATGCTCTGTGTGGTGATTCTACCAAGAGGAAGAAGAGAATCTTGGTTTTGTACGTCCCTTTGGGAGTGGGCCTGCTTTTTCTTGCATATGTATTTTTAAGATTGCGAAAGAAAAAGAAGAATACAGGTCAAGCAGATGTGTCTCTGGTAAAAGGGCATGAAAGAATTTCCTATTATGAACTTGAACAAGCAACAGAAGGATTCAGTGAAAGCAACTTTCTTGGGTAGTGGGAGTGGAGTTTCAGCATGGTCTATAAAGAGATACTTAAGGATGGTACTCTTTTGGCAGCAAAGGTTTTCAATGTGCAATTAGAGGGTGCATTCAAAAGTTTTGACACAGAATGTGAGATGCTAAGAAACCGAAATCTTACCAAAGTTATCACTAGTTGCTCCAACCCTGACTTCAAAACCTCAGTATTGGAATACATGCCTAATGGGACACTTGATAAATGGCTATACTCTCATAACCTGATTTATTGCAGAGATTAAATATAATGATAGATGTTGCATGTGCAATAGACTATCTCCACAACTGTGGTGCATTGTGATATGAAGCCAAGCAATGTCTTGCTAGATCAAGATATGGTTGGCCATGTCAGTGATTTTGGCATCGTAAAATTGTTAGGTGCAAGGGAGGCTTTTGTACAAACTAGGACAATGCAACCATTGGATGAATATGAAGCCTTTATATTCATTTTCGACCATGACTGCAGAGTACGGACAATATGGTTTAGCATCCACGAGCTGCGATGTATATAGTTTTGGCATCATGATGATGGAGACATTTACAAGAATGAGACCAAGTGTTGAAATATTTACTGGAGACTTGAACATACGACAGTGGGTTAGTGATTCATAAGGTGGTGGATGCAAATCTGGTACAGCCAGGGGATGAACAAACCGACGTAAAGATGTAATTAGCTTTGAGCTGCACTTTGGTGACATCTGATGCAAGAATTAGTATGGAAGATGCTCTTTCAACACTCAAAAAGATCAAGCTCCAGTTTTGTCACTAGTCAACACTAGGTGGAATCAGATCATCAGCTCTGGATTCCCCTATATTTTCCAAATAATGAGATTAAATTTGGTTATATCGTATAAACCTGGTATTTCTAATATATAACGTTCAAATAAAAAATCAAAAAAGTAAAATTCACGTGCAACTTCCTTCATTTGAATCTCTTTAAAGAGATAGATACCACACAACTTTGAGCTCTCTTTAAAAGTTGTGGGGTATCTACTGGCATGAGATTAAAAATGTTTTATAAGGCACGGAATGTGACAGGTTTTGACGATATATGGCAGTCTAAATGAGATGAGACAAAAGAGAAGAAATGACGTGAAGCTGCAGATGTAGAAATATAATTTAAAAGAAACATCACTAAAATATATGATTGTTGTGTTGTCAATGACTACAAATAGTTGTACAAAACTTTGGATTAAACTAAGAGAATCATCGATGAAGTGAGAAGTACAAAAATCAAAGGGAAACAAATATACAAAAAGATCTCAGCTATAAAAAGTGGAATCTCTTAATCCTCCTTTGGGAGAATCTACACCAATTAATACACGAGGTCCAGAAGCCTTCAACCAACTATAGATTCATGTTTCCTACAACAACAATTTGGCCTTAAAAGCTGACACTCTTTCGAATCTCTTTAAAAGCTGTGAGGTATCTAATGGCATGAAACTAAAATGTTTTATAAGGCCATCTATCTGCTTTAATGGTTTTGCAAGTGATTCACAATTCTTCAGAGCAATGTAGGCAATTGTAATTAATGATCTGGTATGCAAGGCTCTCAGGCTCTGGAACCATAGCTGAAGTTAAGCCATTCCAAAAGTGAAATGTGACTGTTTCTTTGAGGATAGTTTTAAATAGCATATCTTGTTCAGCTTTCTCACTCTCCGTTGCTGGTGCTGAGAAATATCTGCCCAAGGAAAAGGAAGAGTTGGTACAACATATTTTTGTCTAATAACCCCCTGTTTTCGATTATCATCCCAGCAGAAAAATAAGCAGATGTTGCTGTTTGGTTACAAAAACCATGACATGTTCGGATGCTGCTGAAGCTCACTGAATGAGATATTAGACAGCCAAGGTTTTTGATAAGTTAGCTTTTTAACTAACTTCTCCTGTGTTTCTATAGAGTTTTATGCCCCATCTGTTGGAATAAGTTGAGTAATTATGTTTTGAATGCTGTATTTTCAGGATCATGGAGTTGTGGACGCTTTGAGAATGATAAACATGGAAAAAGGCAGATTCCGAACTTGGAAACTTTTGTTTAGTTCCCCCTTAAACTTCACGTGGTCATTAATACCCCCGTAAACTTGGCAATTTCATAGCCTCGACCCCCCTGGAAGCTCACAATCCTTAGGAGTGTGACACACGAGCTCCCACATGGATTTTTTTACAAAACAATATGTATTTTTATCTTTTAAGTCCACCAACTATTTAAATCATTTTTTCGTGCCAAAATCTATATAAAAAAACTTGAAACAACGTTATTTTGACCATGATTTTTTATTTGGCTAAAGATAATGATATTTAGCCAAGTTACTTTTATATATTTGGACAGGAAAAGAAGGAATACACATTTAAAACATATTATCATTGTAACTAAAAAATAAAAAAAAATACGTTGTTGGAACTCCATATATTGGCTAAATAAAAATTTTAGCTTAGAATAATAAAATTTCTACCAAATATTTGCGAATTTGACTCAAAAAAGAAAAATGCATAATTTAACTAAATAGTTATTGCATGAAAATAAAAATACACAGTACTTTTTTCTTTTTGTAGAAAATATACTATTTGAACTTCATTACTTTTGCTAAATCTTCTTTTTATTTGGCTAAAATAAATGAAGTTTCAACTAACTTTTATAAATTTGGACCGAAAAAAAAAGATAAGAAATACATAGTAATATATATTCATTGTATTTTAAAAAAATACAATTGGGAAAAAATATGCAATCTATCTTAAGAAGAAACAACGAGAAATACAATTGGAACAAATAAATCGTTATATTTGATTATGTAGCAATTAATATTTGAAAAATACTCCATTTGGAAGCTAATTTTTTTTATTTTTCTTCCCTCCCACACACCTAAAAGAGAGGGTATTCATGCTCTTTGCCACATCAGCATCTAGGAGGGTCAAGACTATCAAATTTTCAAGTTCGGGAGGGGNCGAACATTTCTACCCATTGAAAAATAGCAAGAAAAGACCAAGTCCAAGTGAACGATTGGAAGAATTAAAGTTGTAACCTAAGTTGCTCCGACATGGCAGTTTAGGTGCCGCACCCGTGTCGACACGACACTAGTATGGGTGTGGGTATGGGATCCGTATAGGATCTGGTCAAACAATTTTGGGTACTTTGACCACGACGGACAGAAAAATTCGAGACGAGATACAATTTGATTACCAAAATCAAAACTAAAACTAGGGTAAATTTGAAGAAAATAGCATATCTTATCTAGGTAAATAATCTTTTATTTATCTATAACTTGAGAATAAAAAGAAAATCCACACTTTACAAGCTATACGTAACTTTTCCACAAAATTTCTCATAAATTAGAGAGATTTCTATTTTTTAAAATTATTTTTAGCCTAATCCCCGCACCCGTATCCGTACTAGGATCCGTATCCCCGAATTTTAAATTTACATCTTGAAAGATCCGACCTCTAGATCCGCACCCGTGTCGGACACCCGCACCCGTGTCCGAGCAACTTAGGTTGTAACTGAAGGCCAAAAATTTACGTAGCCTACGATGCGAAGCACGTAGCTTACGTACCTAGAAAATGGGATTAAGATGAAGACTGGGATGTTCTGGTTTTGCCTACGTGAAGCACACAGCCTACATGGGGAAAAATCACCTGAAGAAGCTGAAGCTCACGCAGCCTACGTGAAGCCCTGAAGAAAGCAGCCTACTTGAAGCATGAATCTGAAGCTAGGTGGGGCCAACCAAAGGCAATTTTGTCCACTTTTGGGACTTGATATATATAGAAGTTTAGGTCATTTTTAGGTCATCTTTGCTTCTCATTTGTACTCCATAGTAGCCTTTAGCTAATTTGGGAAGGATTGGAAGATCAACAACACCTTGTTTGGATTTTCTTACTCTTTTAAGTCTTAATTATGTTTATCTTTTCATCTCAACTATTATTTTCCATTTCTAGTATGAGTAGCTAAGCTCCATAGCTGGATTATAAACTCTTATGGCATTAATGTGAATGGGTCTTTGTTCATCTTGCTTATTATTACTTGGATTGTGATTATCTACTTGTTTCCATGCTTTATTGTTAATTTGGTGGTTGCAAACACCAGATTGAGCCCTTTTTATCTATTTCTTACTTGGAAATGTGAGAATTAGATCGGGTAGTCAACAAGTAGCAAGGATTGGAGCTTATGAAGGAATTAATGAAGCTTGATTAATAAAATCAAACTAGGAATAGGAAAATTTCTACTTAGGTCATTATCAATTGGATGAAAGTAGTAGAAATGAGCATGTTGAGGTGGATGTGCGGGCACACTAGGATAAATAAGATTAGGAATGATGATATTCGGGAGAAGGTGCATGTGGCTCCCATTGATAACAAGATGCGGGAAGCGAGGCTTAGATGATTCGGACATGTTCAGAGGAGAAGCCCAGATGCTCCGGTACGGAGGTGTGAGCGGTTGGTTGTGGAGGGCACGAGAAGAGGTAGAGGGCGGCCTAAGATGTATTGGGAGAGGTGATCAGGCAGGATATGGCGAGACTCCAGATTTCCGAGGACATGACACTTGATAGGAAGATGTGGAGGTCGAGTATTAGGGTTGTAGGTTAGGAGGTAGTTGAGTCTTGCCTTACTTCGTACCATTGTGAGACTAGCCAGGTAGGGTTTTTGTCTAAGATAGCTAGTGGCAATGTTGTGTCTTACTATTTCGCTTTTCAGTGCAGGACCTATTTACTAGCTATCGCTTTTGCTTTGCATCTTTCTTCTGGATTTCATGGGGTTCCTATTTTTCCTATGATTGTTATGGTGATACTAATATTGTCTCCTTTTGTCCTTTTGTCCTTTTGTCCTTTTGTCCTTTTGTCCTTTTGTTTTCTTGAGCTGGGGGTCTTTCGGAAACAACCTCTCTACTCCTTCGGGATAGGGGTAAGGTTTGCGTACACACTACCCTCCCCAAACCCCATTAGTGGGATTTTACTGGGTTGTTGTTGTTGTTGTCATTATCAATTGGGGCTTATTGAATTCCTTTGGGTTTGAAAGAACTTTTTAGGGAAAAGCTTGGCTATAGTTGGAAAATTCTAGTGGGCAGCCAGCTATCAATTGGATCATAATCACTAATACGAAGTATTTAGGCAAGATTAAAGACACCCATGAACTAATTATGCCATATTAAGGTTGCAACCCTGATCCTTCTCTTTATTAGAAAACCCATCTTTATTTGCATTCTACGTGCGCTTTCAAATTTAGTCATAACTGATCACCACTCTTTTGTTAGAAGATAAACTTAAGAAACATCCAGGTTGCACACTTTTAAACACTTTAGCACACGCTCCTTGTGGGATTCGACCCCAACCTAGTTGGATTTATTATTGCTAACGACCGTCTACGCTTCACTTAGAGGCGTAGGATTGGACGCCATCGTTTTTTCCCTAAAAATATTATTAGGGCTAATCTACATGAATCAATATTTTACGAGGTCAAACATTGACTCCTGATTTAGGAAAAATATCGAAATTCAAATCAATATTGAAATTACCTGTTATGTTGTTAAAATTTTGCAGCATTACTGAAACAGAAAGTGTTGCTTATGCTGTAAGGGGCCTAGACTAATGCTCCTCTCTTTCAGTACAAGACTCAACAAAGTTATATGACGTCACCATTATGCATTAGTTAGAGCAGTATATTTTAACCAAATTAGTAATAACATCATGACCGTAAGTGCAACCAATAACTCTAGTTAGAGCAGTATATATTAACCAAATCAGTAATAACACCATGACCGTAAGTGCAACCAATAATCACAATAACTCTAGTTGTAACACTACCTATCATGGCAAGAAAAGGAAAAAAGGCAATAATGTTAATATGACTAAATTTCTTTTTAGAAATGGTAATGTTAATATGACTAACAATTAAAAGTTTGAAATAACAATAATAAATCTTTCACTAATAAATTTAAGCATTTACAATCCTAAGTACCACATTTTATACTTTTGAACTAGAGACTGAAAGGTAGTAAAGTCCGTACCTGGTAATATTATTATGACCGATAGGGAAGATAAGAAAAGAGGGTTGAAACTTGATCTCCATCGTTCTATCAGAGAGATTATCATTGCCAGAAAAGTTACTAGCAACTCTTGTCAAAAGATCAGCTCCATTCCACCTTAATTGTGCGTCGTCATAAGAGGCATAAAACTCCTTCAAACACTCCATTATAAAAGGACTGCAAAAGACGTACAAGAAAGTGAATCTTGGATAACATCCTTTATATACTTTTGCCATGGAATACTTGTATTATCCTGTCCTTTTCCCACAATACACTTTAAGAGGTAGTACGGTTTGAGGTTATTCTAATACTAAAATGGAATCCTTTGGTAGCATTTTCAGGCAGCACAGGACAACTTGAAATTACTTTTTATTTTAGAACAGCGGTGTGTCCAGGCCGACTTGCATGCAC